CACACCGGGCCCCGCCGCGTGTCTGCGTCCCAGCGCTGCCCGGTAGGTAATGGCGGGGCACGTTCCGCCCGGGAGCCGCTGAGCCCGCGCCCAGCTCAGACAGGCGAGCAACGGGGCGTGGAGCCGGACTGGGTCCGCGCCGCTCCCTGAGGCAGCGCGGGGGCGTCGTGATAAGACGACGAGAGACCCTTCACACTGGCAATTTACATCTAATGAGCTAGACCCCTTACTGACGTCTTAAAAAGTAACCTGTCCATTAATGGTAGATTGTATTGTTAAATATTTACTGGTAATGACAGTGTTGTAAGCAACGGGGCGTGGAGCCGGACTGGGTCCGCGCCGCTCCCTGAGGCAGCGCGGGGGCGTCGTGATAAGACGACGAGAGACCCTTCACACTGGCAATTTACATCTAATGAGCTAGACCCCTTACTGACGTCTTAAAAAGTAACCTGTCCATTAATGGTAGATTGTATTGTTAAATATTTACTGGTAATGACAGTGTTGTAAAGCTTCCATGCGGGAGGACAAACCAATATCAGATTTTGTATTTTTCTCCTCCGCAGGCTTCTAGTAACATGCAGCAAGTGGAAGCCACTTTCTGCAGTCCCATCTTAGATATTGGCCCTGCCCCAGTGCCATCCTTGGATTTGGAAGAAGGAAAACCACCTTGTAAAAACATTCAGTGCAGTGGCATCACTATTTTTGGTATCCAGGGAAGAAAGAGATTATGGCATGACTGCCATTAGTAATGTGTTTGTACTAAAAGAGTGCAGAATATGAACATCTCACACCTAATTTTGATAGACCTGTCTCCTGCAAATTTTCTGAGAATTGTATTGAAAATATGGTAATCCTGTTATCCCTGAAGAACTGTTTTCAGTTACATTATGGCCTCAAGATTCCAGCAGCTGGTTTCAGGTGTTCAGCAAACAGCGGACTTATTATACAGTCTGTTTCTAGTGATATTTATCAGAATTTGGCAGTCGAAGATTGGGTTCATGACAATATGACTTTAGAGGATAGACATGTTCTTTTCATGTGGAGAAATTCTCCCACTGTGGTGATTGGGAGACACCAGAATCCCTGGCAAGAGTGTAATCTCAAGATAATGAGAGAAAAAAACATAAAATTAGCCAGAAGGAGAAGTGGGGGAGGGACAGTTTACCATGATCTGGGCAATATCAATTTGACTTTCTTCACATCCAAGAAAAAATATGAAAGAATGGAAAACCTAAAATTAGTTGTTAGGGCTCTAAAAGCCTTGCGACCCCAGTTTGATGTGCGTGCCACCGAGAGATATGATCTGCTACTAAATGGGAATTTTAAAATCTCAGGTACAGCTGCAAAGCTAGGAAGGACTGTAGCTTACCATCACTGCACTTTACTATGCAATGCGGATAGGTTTCTTTTATCTTCTGTGCTGAAGAGTCCTTACAAGGGGATAAAAAGTAATGCCACTCCTAGCATGCCTGCGTTAGTGAAAAATCTCTTTGAAGAGGATCCTAGTTTAACATGTGAGATTGTCATGGATGCTATTGCTGCAGAATATGCGAGATGCCATAAAATTGACCATTGTATTACTTTAATAAATCCAGGTGATGAGACAGTTTTCCCTGGAATTAACATGAAAACCAAAGAACTCCAAACATGGGACTGGATATATGGCAAGACACCAAAGTTTAGTATTAGAACTTGCTTTAACATGGTGTATAAACAGTCTCTCCTTGAAGTTAAAGTGGATATACAAGTAAAGCATGGAAGAATTGAAGCTTGTAACATAGATTTGCCGGAGCAGTGGCTACCACCAGCAATGTGCAGTGAACTAGAAAAGAACCTAACTGGCAGTAAACTTTGCCCAAGTGAAACCGCAGCATTAGCAAGTACTTTGCTGAGAGTATGTCCACAAAACTATGAGTTGCACAGCAAGTGGAGTCTCCTATGTGAGACTGTGATGACACTAATGTGATTTTAATAATGAAAGTGTATACAGTCACATCTTTGCTATTGACTAGTACATGATTTACTAAAAATGTAAAATAAAATCTGGTTATTTTATAAAAGTTGATTATGCTTTAGTTTGTGCAACTACAACTTAGACTGATCATAAAACTAAATATGTTGTCACATGAAACTCAATTACTTAAGATGGAACATGTACATAGTCATCCAAGTACAGGAAGATACTTCAGACCAGATTTATATGCTAAAAGTTCACATTTCAGAGACAGTGAATTCAAAGATATTCTGGATTTGGATAGGAAAACTTATATTTAAAAGACTGTAAAGCCCCAAGTCTAATATGAGGTGGTGCTTTGATAGCTTTAAAAGTTAATCTTATACATGGAGTATCCTCTATCTACATTTTAGGCTATGGACTAAACTTTACTCTAGATTACCATCTTGTGGGCTACATTAAAAATAGTTAAGATGTCTTAAAATAAGTAAAAACGCAGTGACCATCTCAGATATGCAGAACTGGATTTGGATTCCTGTGCTTTTGCTTTCAGGGCTGGTTCTCAACAAGAAGGATAAATGGCTATAAAGCAGGGACACATTATTAGCCTGATCAAGTATGGCACATTTGTTTTGGCTATCTTCTATTTACAGGTATTTGAGCCTATCAAAATGTGTATTCCCATTAGTACTGAAATTAGTTATCCCTGAAATAGAAGGCTTCTGAAAGTTGTTAAATTCCAGTGTGATGGCCAATTGGTAACTCAGAGGACTCTGCATAGTATTCACTGATTTTTACAGCTCTCCTCCTTGTCTTAGAACAGGGGTAGGCATTTTTTGATGGGGGGCCACTCTAAGATTTTTGAAAGTGGTTGAGGGCCACCCTCTTCCATATTAATAAGAGGTGGGAGGGCAGGGGGGTCTGGGATGGAGGTGGGTGCAGAAGGGAGCTTGGGGTAAGGGATTGGGGTGTAGTAGGGAGAGTGGAGTCTGGGAGGGAGTTTAGGTGAAGGACACAATTGTGACATGGGCCAGGGAACTGGGGTGCAGGTTTTGGGATGTGACCTAGAGTAAGAGGGGATTGTGATCTCAGACAGGAGACTGGGATGCCAGTTCTGGGAGGGGGTATAGGTGCATGTGGCATAGCAGGGTGGGAATAGAGGGCAAAGGGTTGTGGGAGGGAGGAGCTGGGGTACCAGAGGTAGGTTCTGGCCAGACTACTTACCAGTTAGCAGCCAAACCAGCCTGCTTACAGAGTTTAAAATGTTTCTTCCTGCTGCTATGTACCTAAGTGAGTGAGCAGGAGCATGGCTGCCTGTAATTCAAACAGGTAGCTCCCACTGACTAGTTTCTGTCCAGAAACTGGCTCATAGGATTGTGCTGGGGGCAGGAGCAGCATCTGAATCTTCCCCCTCCTCTCTGGACACAAAGAGACAGCACCCTATAGCTCCATTTGAGTGGGCGGTGGGCCAAGTAGGGGAGGCTGCCGGGGGCTCCCCACTGCCTCACCGGGCTTGGTAGGCCAGATGCGGCTTGTGGGCTGTATTTTGCCCAGGCCTGTTTTAGAAGGAAACAATTGGGCTGTATCTAATTAAGCTACAATATGTTTTCCATAAGTCCTATTTTTCTTTAAAATTAAGACACTGAATGATGCCTAACCACCATATATTTGGATTTTCTGCATTGGAACAAAATGATCTAACTTTATGGTGTATGTACAGTTCACAGAAATGCGACTAGTCTCAAGCATTTAAACTTTCAGCATTGCTAATTCATGACATGAATACAGAAAAACCTCAGTTTTGAACTCATTGGTAATTAAGGCTGTTTAATTCTGAAATTTTAAATTCTAGACAATGTTACGGTTCTTTCAAAAGTAACATAGGCCAACTACAACAAGAGGCTTCACAATATAGAAGAAAAATACTGCTACAGTGAACCCTCGTTTATCGCGGTAGATAGGTTCCAAACCCGACCGCGATAGTTGAAAATCCGCGAAGTAGGGACATGTATATTTAACATGTATACAGCGAGCCCTCGCTACTTCGCGGTTCGACCATCGCGGATTCACGTATATACATAATGTAATGAAAAAAGTCCGCGAAGTCGTGAATCCGCGATGGTCGAACCGCGAAGTAGCGAGGGCTCACTGTATCTTAATATAAACAAAACAAGGACAGAAACAGTTTATTTACCTTGACAGTATTTTACAACTTCCCATTTTAAAAGCTTAAATTTAAACAGTATTGTACTTTTTTTGGGGGGAGGGGGAAGGGGAGGAGAGTTTGTCTATACTGCTGTCCAATTGCATACCTTCAGTTCAAAATAAGTATTGTAGAGCTGCCCTAATAGACAGATTTATCCCCATAAACTATGTCTAGACTACAGAATTTTTCTGGGATTCCTCTGGTGCTGGGCACTCTGCCACGTCCAGGGAATGCATCTGCTCTTCTGATGTTTTTTATGGAAGAGCAGATGCACTCTTTTAGAAATTGTCTTCCTCATTTCACGAGGAAGAAGGGCTTTTCCAAAAGAGGAGGCTTTTGCGAAACTTGGCCCAGTGTAGACAGGCCAAATTTTGGAAAAGTCTTGTCCGAAAAAAACATTTGAGAAAATGGTATGCAAAATGCAGCGTGCGATTTGTGTACTGTTTTCTGAAAAAAGTGGCAGTCTAGATGTAGCCATAGTATGCCCAAAGTTACACAATTTGAATGTTAGTATAATTCAAATCAGTGTAGCTTAGATCAACTTACTGCAGTGTCCACAGTATGCTAGGTCAATAGAAGAAACTTTCTTCCACTTCCGTTACACATCTTGTTCTTGTGGAGTACCAGAGTTGAAATAAGTGAGCCGCATAGGGTCTATTTACCCCATAATGGAAATATATCCTCAGTTTGTAACTCCTGGGCTATGTCTACACTGGCGTGATCTTGCGCCAGAAGTATGCAAATGAGGCTAAGCGTGGAATATCGCCAAGTCTCATTTGCATATCTAACGAGCCACTATTTTTGCAGAAGAGGCTCTTGCGCCAGAAGGAGCTGTCTACACTGCCCCTTCTTGTGCAAGAAAAACCCTCTTGTGCAATGCCGTTACGCTGATTATTTTCAGGAATAACGGTATTGTGCAAGAGGGTTTTTCTTGTGCAAGAAGGGGCAGTGTACACAGCTCCTTCTGGCGCAAGAGCCTCTTCTGCAAAAATGGTGGCTCATTAGATATGCAAATGAGGCTCAGCGATATTGCATGCTTAGCCTCATTTGCATACTTCTGGCACACAATCACACCAGTGCAGACATAGCCCTGCTCTTTAACTGAGATTCTACTGTATCTTGCTTTTAACTCATTTCTTTGGAAATTACTAGAGCGATGTGCCCCAACCCCCCCTCCCCTCATTGTCCACTTTTGTGGTCAGAGAGCCTATTAATCTTGCACTGAGCCCAGCTGTGTGGCTTCCATGGCCTCAAGTCACTTGTACCCTTCTTCCTTCCTGCCCCACCACAGCCCCGAACACTCTCAGCCATCCTGCCCTTCAGTTGCCAGCTTTTCTTCCCTGCTCCCACACATCCTCTGCTCCTGCCCCACCCACCAATAAAATAGTTCATTAATGTGCAGAATTCGTAGCCTCTCCTAGCAGCTAGCATGGGTCTATGGGGAAGTGATGTCAGGGAGGGCTGTGTTCTATGGGCTTGTGGACCACACGTGTAAATGAAAACCAGTAAAATGGGGCCTAACTCCAAGCAAACCCCCTTTGTTCCAGGTGCTCCTGGTAGTGAGAGGCAAGGGTAGGGTTACATGCTAGAGGCCAGGTAGGGAGAGCATTCCCTGCTCTCCATAGTTATTGTCTGCCTTTACAGGGCAGCAGTGCTCGAGATGTGCCCTTCCAGCTGTCAAGCAAGTTCCCGCTGCAGGGCTGGGACATGCTCCATGTGGACAGGACCCAATGGACAGACATGGAACCATGTAGGAGTCTCCATCTTTGTGCACCTGTGCCCTACTGAAAACAAGATTTGAGTCACACTGGAAGAGATCCTAGTGGGGTAATCTGGGCTGCTAATCCTTATACTGGAGCTCCATGGCCCACTGCCCATCCCTCCTCCTTCCATCCTTCCCCCCACCTCCATCTCTATACCACAATTCCCCTGCTTCCATTCGTACACCCACCATCCATCCCTAACCCTTCCCCCTCTACATCCTCACACTGCCCATCTTCCTGCCTCCATTCCTATATCTCACCATCCCTCCCTACATACACCTATGCCCCTTTCTCCCTCCCTACGCACATGCTGCCCCTCCAACAAATGGGCAGCCCAACAAGCAAAGACACGACCTACCCGGATTTCCCTTTGGGTTCTACAACCAGTGTTGCTAAAACTGTTCCTGTGTGCAAGTAGCCCCTTCTCCCATCTGTCGGGCCCCATGGGACACCTGCCACTGAGCAGGGCCTGGACTGCTTCTGCTTTCCCCCCTGTTCCACTCCACATATCACTTGGGCTGAGGAGTGAGGCACAAGGGCCAGTGTGTGGCCAGCTGCTCCATGTCTCCCCTCTGGCCCACAGTGAAAGTCCAATGCCTGTGCACCGGGGAGGAGGGAAGGAGTACAGCTTGCAGCTCTCCAGAGCACGGGGAGGAATGAAGAAGGAGGTTGCGTAGATGAGGGTGGAGGCATGCAGAGTGATGTGATGTCATTTTGTAGTTCCGAAGGAAGAATTGTTATATATACAGAGAAATTTTGATTCAAACAAACTGCAAGTAATCAAAAATATAAAAATTTATTCCATAAAAATATACAGTACATATAATTGAGAGACATTAAAAGCAGGCATTTTAAGCTTGGAAGAGCAGTAATTAAATATAAATATTTGGTCATGTTTTCTTTGTGTGTTTAGTATGAAAGACATCCACTGTTGTTTCATGACATGGTCTCAAATCAAAGTCACAGTATCCAAGACAAAATCGACCCTGCAGAAAGGAACACAGTTTTAGAATAAGTCATCACGTAGTTCAAATGCATTCAAAAGTAAAGACACACTTACTTGTGGTTTCTTAAAATAATCAAGCCCTCTTCCAATCTTAATCATCCATCCATTGTTGAATCTATTTTAAAAATTCACATTGTAAACTTGAAGATGGAGTAGCAAACTGTTCATACATTTAATACAAGGTATTCAAATTCCACCTACCATTTCAATCACAATTACTTCTTCAAGTAGATGCCAACTATGTAATGCAGTAGTGTCTTTTTAAAAGCATTTAAACTATATCCTATGGGTCTCAATGTTGAATACAACGTAAAACTATGAAGAACTTATTTTACTGGCTAAAGTAACTGCCTGCTGTTTTTATTGAGGTTTGTAAGCATGGTCAGAGACAACTTGTGAGGATTAAATAATCTTGAATTAATTAGTTTTCTGCATCACTCACTTTATTTCTCGATCATGGATCGAAGATGAAAATGAGACATTCAGTGTTATTCCATAGTTCTTTAGTGATTGCTTTATTTCTTCTAGGCAACTTGTCTGCTGATTCTTTCCATTGCCCTGTTCAAGAGTAAAAGTTGTTTTCCACTATGCATGTTCTGATTGTGTCCATTTATCTTCTGTCATTCACTAACATCACTTTGTTATTTTGTCCAAGACTCAACATGCTTTATAAAGGCAGATAATTTATCCTCATTTTTGTAAATTGCATGACTGTGGCACCATGACTGCCTTGACCAAGAACACATAGCAAACCACAACAGATTACAGATAAGGACTCAATTCCCTCTTCTGGTCCCATGCTCTAACCACTAGATGTACTGTGTCCACATACATAGGATTATGTGTTCAGACTAAGATTTGGGCTAGAATGAGTACTATGACAATGAGAAGGTTTGTACTTGTCATAACCCTTAAAGATCAAAATGTATCCAGCCCTTTCTTATTAGTGTCACAGCAGAATTTTTTTAAATGGTGCAGTAGACAGGCAAATATGACAATACAAACATCTCTTTTTCCATGGATACTTCCACTTAGGATTCCACGTAAATAAATTCTGTTAGACTATTCACTGCACTGTTTGTTAAATCCTCTTGACCTGCCTGCATCTCCTGTTGAAAGAGAGAGGGTCTGACAAATACTGGTATATGTGAATAAATAGATCTTATACAAGAAGTCTAGATACTTACATCATCATAGGAAGTGCGGAGGTGGATAGTTCTCACTTTGCAGGGCCCCTTAACAATCATCTCACAGAATCGTAAGAAGTTGTACAACTGTAAGAGTTAGATTATTTAATAACTAAAATAATTGTTTCACACACACACACACACACACACACACACACACACACAGAGGGAGGAGACTGACTACATTCAAGAGTCACTTGCCTGGTGAATATGCCTGATGTATGGATCCTCTACCCAAACTTCTGTAACAGTCTCATTAAGGTAGTCTTGGAAAACCTTCTCATAGCTGAAACCTGTTGCATTCTCTTCAATTTTAATTTGCTTGTGGTATTTACCATCTAAAAAAAGCATATTTCACTCAACAAGACAGTTCAAATCATACATATGTATTATGCAAAACCTATGTAACTGTATCATAACTTCAGATGTACAAGTGCATCATTTCATGATTTTTTTTTTAAATTCCAGTACAACTTCATACCTTCTCTCTCTTTTGCAATACATTTTTTAATTGCTTCAGCTCTTTCCATGTAGGCAGATATTTTTTGTCTGTAATGAGATTTTTTTGTTTCATCTTTTGTACCTGTAAATAAAAAATAATATCTCAAAAAAGGATGATAGCTATGTCTGGTAGTTAATCTTCTATCGTCCCACCAATAAAAGATTCTCAGATATATTTTGTATTTAACAGTGTACAGAAAAAGAGAGAAATCCTGGGCTGGAACTACATCCATGCCCAAGATTCAGTCCCTTTATTGTTTGGTTCTCAGTATTTTTTATTGTGTGTATATCTACGCGTGGCAGATTTTTTTTTTTTAATTAATTTTGGCAGATACTTTCAAGGTTTATTTTTAAGCACTTTTTAACATTAATCAATTTAAAATTTTCACAGTTGCAGGAAAACTCTGGAGGGTGTTAAAACAACTATTTAACAACACTAGGTGTTGAGATTCAATAAGATATTTTTTATGGTTAACCTAGAAATTATTAACATCACGTCAAAATACACAAAGTTAGTATCTTTAAATCAAGTTTTCAAGCAGATGCCTGAATGAGAGAGCAAGGAGAATTTAACAAGTATGTACTAGAAAGATGGCGTTTCTTTAAAAAAAAAAAAAGTAAGAGGGGGCTTGCCTACACTCAAAATGCTTCAATAGTGCTGCTGTAGCACTTCACTGAAGTGCTATCTACTCTGCCAGGAGAACTTCTCCCTGATGTAGGTAATCTCTAATCCAGTGGTCACCAACCAGGTGATCAGGATCTACTGGTAGATCTTGGAGCCTCTGACAGGTGATCTTGACTGGTTTGGCCAAGAGGCTCTCAAGCACAGCACTTCAGCTACCCCTTCCCCCACTGTTGCACATCTCCTGCCCTTTGCCTTGGAGCTGTCCCCCTCTGTCACCCTATATTCGATCTCCGCAGAATGGGGGTGAGATGAACAACAGGGTTTGGGGTGCAGGGAGTTTGTTGGCTGCTTTTGAGAGTTGTGCAGGGCCAGGGAAGGGGTGAGCCTGCCTTAGCCCCTCTGTACCACCACAAAGGAGCCACCTGTAGTAGGAAGCAGGAGGGATGTAATAGTGTGATGTAGTGGGGGGTACAGTCCACTCGCTGGTCGCTATACTTGGGATGGTGGGCTGTGGTCTCTGTCTGTAAGCACTTCCCAGTGGGGGGGTCGCCTTGAGGGCCCTCATGTCACGTAGACCATGGCCCAACTGGTTCTCACCAGAGAGGGAAGGAGTTTGAACAAAGGAAGGGTGTGGTTTGGGGAAGAGTCGGTCTTGCATGGGAAAACATGGAGAGAAGAGACTAAGTTAAGTACTGGGAGTTTGGGGGCCTGTGGACCCTTACCCCAAAGAGTCTGAGGCTACCTGGTCCCTCACTTTGATGCCCACATAGAACCCAGGCTGTGCTGTACCTTGCAGAAGCAATACATCCTTCTACTCGCTGGCGGAATCTCATCTTGGTGTAGACGGGTGTGACAGCGCGTTGGGGTTTTCCTGTCTCCTGCACCCCGTAATGGCATGGACAGACTTCACCAGCCAGGAGAATAGAGG